CTCATCAGTAGAAGCTCCTTCCTAAATCAGAAGTCAAATAGAATCCCCAAGTGGACATGTTGGTACATTCTCTTGATATGGCCAAGGGGCTCTTTGACATGAATGGCCATGGGAATGCTGCAGGGATTCCGAGATGGGATCCATCTAGAATGTCAATAAGGACTGCTCAATCTGCCTACAACAAAGAGAGAAATTGCAGATGACTATGGGGCAGACCTTTCTTACTCAGTGTCCAAATTTCACAACTGAATTTACCTTGAATAAGGAAGACCACAGAAGAGCGGATGCATGCGAATTGTGAAGAAGATTGAAGTCCCATGGACATCACTTCGACATCTCGTGATCACAGGACAAACTGATCTGTCTTGAAAGATGTAAGGCCAGAGTGCTCCTTAGAGGCAAGGATGGCAAGACTTCATCTTACATATTTTAGACATGTTGTCAGGAGAGACCAGTCCTTGGAGAAGGACATCATGTTTGGTAAAGTGGAGGGTGGTGAAAAAGAGGAAGGCCCTCCATGAAAAGGACTGATACAGTGGGCTCAGGAATCGGAATAATTTGAGGATAGCTCAGGACCATGCATTGTTTCATTCTTTCGTGCACATAGCCGCTGTGCATCAGCGCCAACTCAATGGCACTGAACAACAACAATGTGGGGCAAATTCCCAGTGGAAAGGCCTTGCACATATCTGGCAAGTCTATTTGTTCAAATAAACAACATTTGTGGCACCAGGTGACTATCAAAGAATCCTCATAGGAACAAACATCAACTCTGGGCTTCACTTGGCATATCCTGTAATGAATACAGATGCCAAATAAAACATTAAGCGATTAGAACAAAATATACTGTAGCAATTTGGGCCAGCAATTATATTTCCTCAGACTAACAAATATACTTTACAAACCACAGTGTGTGATGGGCCAAGAAACATCACATTAGATGTATGTATCATATTTCATACCATCTCCAAGCTAGGGAAACATTTGTTATCTAAAATGGGGAAGAAAGTCATGAAGGGGTGGCTCGAATGCTATGCGAGATGTGTGCTAATTCTCAACATAAGGGTGGCAATGGGAGAACCAGCAATAGAGGGATCCCGATGTTCCTCAGGGCACCTGAGGAAGAAAAGTCGCAGAAGGACATTGGTTCCACTGCACAGCTCTTCCTCACATCATTTGAAATGGCTGCATTTCTGTCGGGTGTGCAGTCCAGGTCATAGTTCAGGTAGATCCCGGATCCTGTATTCTAGAATTCTGAAGGATCTAATGGGCTCTTCTTCCCATCTGAGAAAATTGATAGTGAGTGTCAATAGTGCCATATTGCCTATTGGTCAAGTGTAACCCACTTACCTGTGTAACCATGGCCAACATGAGTGTGAATGGACGGCGGAGAAAGAACCTGCTAAAATTAATCTTATATCTCCAGAGAGACTTTAAGAAAGGGAATGATCTCCTCTCTGTTAAATTTTATCAGGGTACAGGAAGGGTGAAGACAAGATAAACTTTTGAAGAACGTAAGCAGATCATATGAGTTGACCTGAATGATTGATACCGTGTGGGATCCCTCCCACAGTCTAATGGGCCCAAGGAGTGATGCACAATTAAAGAAGACAGAAAGGGGGTTGTAGGGAACTCAGCTCCATCGCCGGGAGAAGCAAGAAGAGAATGAAGAGCCCAGATTTTATTGAGCAGTGGGTTTTTGTAGATCTTGAGCCATGCAAGCTATTATTAATCACATGCATCAAACAAATAGGCCTTTAAGACCCCAGATGCTATATGTTTGATAGCCGGGCACCATCAGCTTTCTTCACCACATTTGCTTATGCACCCATTTGTCTTCAGCAATCGTATCGGGAAGGTGAGCACACAACGACATGAGTTTTTGTTCCTTGATGCCCGATACCTGATCCCTTTGACACCTCGTGATCACGTGAACAAAAAAATCATATAATTGTGAATGAGGGGGAGTGCAGATTGGGGACCCAAAGCCCTTCTATAGGCAACTGGACATGCCCTTACAGGTTCATGGGGAGGAGACAAGCCAGTCAGGGTGTAGTGTAGCAACGATGAAACATACAACTTTCCTCTAGTTCTTAAATGCTTCCTCTTCCCCTGCCCACCCCCCCATCAAGATCCCAATTCTACCTTACAAATCTGGCTAGACCAGAGGATGTACACTGGTACAGATAGGAACTGGAAACACAGGGAAGCCAGGACAGATGATCCCTTCAGGACCAGTGGTGAGAGTGGTGATACTGGGAGGGTAGAGGGAAGGTAGGATAGAAAGGGGGAATTAAATACAAGGATCTACATATAACCTCCTCCCTGGGGGATAGACAACAGAAAAGTGGGTGAAGGGAGACATCGGACAGTGTAAGACATGGCAAAATAGTAATAATATATAAATTATCAAGGGTTCACAAATGAGGGAGGAGTGGGGAGGGAGGGGAAAATGAGCTGATACCAAGGGCTCAAGTAGAAAGAAAATGTTTTGAGAATGATGATGGCAACAAATGAACAAATGTGCTTGACACAATGGATGAATTGTGATGAATTCTATGAGCCCCCAATAAAATGATTTAAAAAAAAAAACGAAAAACAAATAGGCAATACACTAGTATTGGTATTCCAAGTATTCAAAGGAAATATTTCAAAGGGAGTACAAAGCATCCAAGAGATACGAGTTGACCAGTTCTCACTCCTTGAGTTAAGTGAGAAGAGGAGCAGATGTTCTCTGAGATCATTACTTTAAGTTCCTAGCGGAGGACTAAGTGTCTGTAGAAAATAAGTTTGCAAAGATGGCGTAGTCAGAGTGGTGGGAGCAGGCCACTGACACTTTCTTCCAGGTCCTCAGTTCCCTACAATACCTAAGCAATTGAACCCTTAGGGTTCTTTACCCTACTGAAGTGTTGATTGTTAATGATTGCTTGGGCTAGTCAAATAATTGGCAAGAAGTTAATTCTTCAGGTATGAAATGGCCAATGACTAGAAGCATCAGTGGATGGTGGCCAGTGGCGAGTTAATGCAATATAGCCCTTCTAGCCATGGTTTTCTATTTTGTGTTGTAGAATAAATTATATCCTGTTCCCTGTGAGTATGTTCTAATTTTGGAATGAGGTATCTATGATGGTAATGAGGCAGGACTACATGGGATATCTTTTGAATCATCCACATTACTAGATAGTGGGAATCAAGTCAACGCCCTTTGCTACCTTGGACTTTTATGTTAAAACAAGAGCTAACTTCCTATTCTAAGGTATCACCTTAACAGGCAAACCATAAGCTGCCTGCTTGATTGAGAAATGTAAGAAGCTAGAATCACACAATGGGCGGAGGCTAGACTTGGCCCATCTAAGGTGTACAGAAATGATCCACATATCTTTACCTAATCTTTTGGTACAAGAAGGCAAAAATCACATCTCAGTTAAAACCCCAGACCAGGACAAGGTGCCACCTTTGTAACCCGTGTCATGTGCCGAAAACTAGGCAAAATCACCTGGTAATGACCACCAATTAGATGCCAGTCACTACCCTAAGAAAACTGTTGACCCTAGGACTCAGGCAGCCACCTTGAACTGTGCTGCGAAACTTTCATTCTTTTGCTCTGGATCTTGTATCTCATTTGCTTTTGCTTAGCCTCTGGTTCTTGGGTCTTGAACGGGCAGTCTGACCTGATTAACCAGTGTCTATAACTTTGTAAGTCAACAGCCCGATTGTATGAGAAAAGGGGACAGTCTTCCAGAGGGACCTCTGAACTTTAGTTTCAGACTTGAGGGTTTACACACAAGTGAACCAATTCCTGGAAGATTCGTGAGTTCTCTGAGCTGGTGCAGTGAACTGCAGGCCTCTAGGACAGAAGGCGCAGTGGCTGCGATCAGTGATAAAGGAGTGGTACAGAATTTTGGAAATTTTGGAAAAGTCAAACATTTGGGACATCTTTTAACTTCCACATCCCTGAGACTATAGCTTTGTACTAATCCTAATTATATATATATATATATAACTTCAAAAATAATTGAAGTTTTAAAAAAGTTTTAAAAAAATATTCAAAAATAATATATGTGTGTGTGTTTATGTACATTAGTATGTTAAACAGTATATGCATACATATTAATATGCACATATTTTTTTTAACTGGTATAATTCAGAGAAAGTATATTGCTAACCAGACAGTGATGTTGCAAGAGACTTTGGCAGTTCTAGGTCATGACCTGGTAAGTCATGATAGGTTGTATTAGTATGTGAAGTCTACAGTGATTCCAGGAAAGTGATTATCTACAGAGATTTCAAGGATATTAGAGCAAGTGGCTATTGTAATTTTATGAACTATCTCTTAGTTCATATCTAGGGGAAAGTAGATAACTTAGCTATGGGATACTAGGTTCGCATGTGCCATGAGTTGAATGGGTTAATGGTTACTAGGTAAGCTACCTGGATATAAACTAGTTACAACAAGAGAATTTGACCCACACAGAGAGAGATGGCAAATGTAAGTTGTATAACCAGGTTACTTAAAATTTCAATGTACCCATAACTTCCACATCTCTTTCTTCACTCACACCTCTATCCTCATGAAACATCTAGTTTCATATTGATATATATATATATGTCCTTCATCAACATATTATTGAAAGTGTCATTGAAAATTTAGTGAAAACAAAATGTCACATGTTTAATGTTCAATAGGATTCTGTTTACTCTATTAAATGGAATAATGACAAAATATGGAGTTTGCTTTAAAATGTAATTTATTGAAAAGAAAGCAGAACAAAAAACTCAGTCATTGTACTCAGTTATGATGAAAATATCCAAAAAAAGCAATTCAAAGACTTTATTGGCAAATTTCTCACAATAGAAACTCAGTAAGGACTTTAAGGCTCTGATTAGGTTCCCAGGCTGTCGTCTGACTGGAATGTAGGCACAATGAACTGTCTGGGAAAATTTAGCAAAAAGAGTACCATCTGATAAACAGATAATTTAAAGAAAGACTGCCCCTAAGTTGGAATTTTTCCTATTCTAAAATAACTGTTGAATCCTTTGGGTAGAATTGTGTTGTATGGCAGAAGAGAGAAGAAATTCAGAGAATGAAATTTTGGACACATCTGTAAAAGAAAGAAAAAAATAGTTACAATATTTTTAAGAAAACATTGTATAACAGACCCTAATTGCTCTTTGCTCTTACCCTGGGCCATTTGCCAAATGATACTAATATTTTCCTGTTACTGATATAAGATATATGCTTCTCCTTATTTTTGAGTTTCAGGGACTATTTATTATTATGACATGGTATTTTGCATTGCAGTCAGACGTGAGTTATGGGAAGACCAAAGAAAAGTCTTGCATATTGGTCAGGATACATTTTGTTTAGTATGAGCTATTGTAAGTAAAGTTTCTATGATTGGAGATAGAAAATATGCACACATGCACATTATTAGAACTTCTATTACAGTGACGGAATGTAATTAAAACAAATCAGAGGTCTTTACAACAGGTACCGACAGTGCAAACTTGTTTCTGTTTTGTTTCTTGCTAAGAATTATAGGGTCCACTTTGGGGTTATCCATTATCTATGTCCCATTTTCCTGGAAAATTATCAGAGCCACCTCAAAATTTGCATAAGCATTCAAAAACATATTTATTAATAACGGGTGATTGTTTTTTAGTATGAAACCAAACCATTGCAGATCCTTGAGGTAACTTAATTATAATCTAATTGCAATTATGCCTGCAAAAACTTCAGGGGGAAAGTCTTTGATTAGAAACATTTTCTTTTCATGTAGTATTTATATGTAAGTAGTCAAATAATTAGAGATATAATTTACCAACTAATCAACAGCTATACTTATGCATCTCCTGAGAATTTACTTAACTCTTTTGAAAGAATCAGCATTGTTAACATCTGAAGTGAGAACAGTCATAATATAATTTTCATTATATTAAGAAGAAGTGAATGCTATTCTACTGTCTACCATCTATCCAGTATTTGAGAACTAAACATCATTATGTTATTTAAATTCAGAATTACTAGATACCAACCTATGCACTTTATTCTCCTCACAGCATCCTTTTACCTAACCAAATGGAAGGCATTTAAAGAAGAATGAAAGTGTAGGAGAGGTAAAGTTAAACTACATGTCAGGATTCTTTGTCATATTCCGCTAATTTGGATTATTAAATATTTTACAGTTTGATAGTAGGGCTTTATTTTCCCCCGTACTTTCTCTGAACAAATTTCTCCTTTGAAATAAATTGTTCTGTTCTGTACTGCTCCTGAGTAATACTAATAGGGAAGTATTCACACTTTTCCATTTCAGAAAATTCTACAACTACATTTCAAGTATGCATTTGCCACGTTCAATCTAATTTTTCCATATTTTTTATTAATCATTAGTGGGCTCTTACAGATCTTTTAACAATCCATAATTAAATTTTATTAAGCACACTTGTATATATGATGTCATCAACATCCAAAAATGTTTCTTTTTCCTTGAGCCTTGGGTATCAGCTCCTCTTTCTCCCCCTTTCTTTAAGCTATTTTCTTTTCTTTCCTGTGGTAGAGGATGAACACGCAATAGTTAAGTGAACTTACCACCATTATGGCGTGCTGTCAGCCTTGTTAGCATCCCCCATGGCAGCGGTCTTAATGACATTGAAGGATGGTTGGAGAGCAAGATATGGCCTGGCCTGTGGAAGGCTATACAAAGTGCCATAGGGATAGGTCTCAAGCTGATAGACTTGTTGGAAAGGCTAAAAGGGAAAAACAGGCGGTAAGTGTATGAACAAATGCTCATCACACATAAAAACAAACAATTCATTTCCAAGATGGCTCTTGACATTACAGAGATGATCGCCCTGTGAACAAGAAAGAACCGCACTCTTTGTTGTCGTGGCTCCTGAAAACTTCCAGAAGGAGCACTAGTAGGAGATCTGAGGACAGATAAGTATCTCACTACTTTAAGATCATGCCTCACCCTTGAATTCCAAGAACCGACTCTACTTACAATGACTAATTATTAGAGCCCAGAAGAAAGAAGCAGCATGGATTTAATTATTACATAAACTCATTTAACCTACAAGGCATATTTTTGCTATTAAAATGTATAGTTTAATTTTCATGGAGACAGAAGTTAAAGAAATGGTCACCTGACCAGAATCACATAACTTGCTTTGCAAAATGCCAGAAATAGAAAACAAAAATAAAAACGCAAAATCTCCAAATTCCAGTGTTTATTGAAAACACTAGATTGTTGGATCCAAAACATTATTTTCCTTCCTGAAAACTGGAAATCTGCCTCAGTTGGTCTTAAACGATCATTCACTTAAGGCTGAGTTAACATAAAAACAATGCCTCCTGTATATTTAGGCTGTCAATATGTGTCTTTGCCAGAATTAGAAAATGAAACAAAAAATATTTGAAAGTATATCACATTCTGCTGTGTACATTTGACTATGTAAAGTCAAATAAATATCTGAGATTTTCTCTTTATATATTTATTTTTAATAAATTGTTCTATTGTTCTTTTATAACAATCCATACGTCAACTGTGTCAAGCACATTTGTACATATGTCTCCATCAACATTTTCCAAACATTTTCTTTCTACTTGAGCCCGCTGTATAAGCTCCTCTTTTTTCCCTCCCTCCACCCCCCTACCCTTGTGAACCCCTGATAAATTATAGATTTTTTTTTCATATCTTACACCGTCCACTGTCTCCCTCACCCACATTTCTGTTGTTCATCCCCCTGAGAGGGTGAGGGTGGAGTGTGTTTTATATCGAGCCTTGTGACCAATTCTCCCTTTCTCCCCCTACCTTCCCACTACCCTCATACTATTGCAACTCCCATTACTGTTCTTGGTGGGTTTATCTGTCCTGGATTCTGTGTGTTGAGGACTCTTATCTGTATCAGTGTACATACTCTGGTCTACCCGGATTTGTAAGGTAGAACTGGGGTCATAGTGGGGGGAGGGAGACGGGGGAAGCATTAAAGAACTAGAGTAATGTTGTGTGTTTCATTGGTGCTATACTGCACACTGGCTGGCTTGTCCCTTTCTTGTGACCCTTCTGTGAGAGGATGTCCAATTGTCTACAGATGGGCTTTGGGTCTCCACTCTGACCCCACTTGTTTGCATTGATATGATTGTTTTGGGTCTTCTGATGCCTGATACCTGATCCTGTCAACACCTCCTGATTGTACAGGCTGGTGTGCTTATTCCATGTTGGCTTTGTTGCTTCCAGGCTAGATGGCCACTTGTTTAATCTCAAGCCTTTAAGACCCCAGGTGTTATATCTTTTAATAGCCTGCACCTTCAGCTCTCTTCACCACATTTGCTTATGTACCCATTTTGTCTTCAGCAATTATGTTGGGAAGGTGAGCGTCACAGAATGACGTTATTTGGATTTTATCTTTATTAAAGCATTTATCTTATAAAAGTTTAGTATTACAAGTCAACTTACCTCAAGGTAAAAGTAGGCCTGTTCCTTTTTAGAGAGGGAAAGAGAATAATTAGCCTTGTGACTTACACCATGAACACCATGATATACTAAATATTACTACCAAATATTCTCATTAAGAATACATACATATATATTCTTATATTCATATTATATGAGAGAGAAAGAGAGTAGTTCACACATGCTTTTCTAAAAGCATATGAAAAATTGTGGTCAATGGGATGCATAATTCCCTTTATTTTTCAGCTTAAATGAAGTATAAAAGTAGGGTAGTTGTGATTTTCTCTTACTTTCACCAAGCAAAGTGGCCATAGAATTTTAGTAGGGATATTGGGAGTAAAATCCAAGGATGAAACACTATCATAAAATCTATGTTTTGAATAATGAGGAAATTTCTAATTACAGAGAAAAAAACCCATATCCTTCTTTACATTTTTTATCTAGATTGTCAAATATGAACTGAATCATCAAGGCCAAGAGCCACTGATGTGAAAAGAGGAAATACACAAAAGCCCCATAAAAAATCAAAACAGACAGAAATACTGACTTCATACATGTTTGGGAAGGGAAAAACGAAAGCTCAAAGATAATACACAATTTTTTCAAATTCATACAGTACTAGAGGCAAGAGTTTAAATGCAAGATGCTTCCATTGCACAAACCTATAGACGAATAATAAAATGTCAGATCTGGAAAAGATGAACACTAACTTAAAGCTAGCTTCACTCGGGAACTGCGATAAAGTTATTCTTTCCCTTTGGCAACTTCGATCTTGTCTTCCAAAGTTAGAGCTAGCTCTGGAGAGCCCAACACTAGACAAGGGCTGTGGGACGCTTACAGAGCACTAGTCAATGATGCCATTACTACAATAAACAAACAAACAAACAAACGAAAATAAAACTGATTGCCTGTGAGTTGATTCTGACTCATAGTAACCCTACAGGATAGGGTGGGTTTCAGGGACTATAACTCTGTACTGGAATAGAAAACCCTAAGTCTTTCTCTAGCATAGTGATGATGGTTTCAAACTGCTGACCTTGTGGCTAGCAGATCAATGTGTAACCAGTACACCAGCGGGGCTCAATAGTTTCTCTGAACTCTAACTGGGACTTCTCATAGAGAATATCTGACCATTTGTAGACAGCATTACACACATACACACACAGCTATTTACCTGATCCATTACACTCATAGACTCTCTCTGGAAAGAAAAAGAGTCAGTGTTACCTTCACACACAGATGAAGCAACATAATTAAGCTTTGCATGTTAGAGATGATTGGGGCACTGAGTCTAATACTGATTGCATAGAGCAAATTTTCGCAATAAACATACGGAAGATTCTCAAGAATATTCATATGATTCAGTAAATGTAAGCGCAGTTGGTACCCCTGAGTTAGGATTGCCCTGGCAGCACATGTGCGTGTTACAGTCCTCTTTACGTCATCTGTATGCCCCTCGTGCCTCGTGAGCGAGCTCACGATGAAGAGAGAGCTTTGTGGAGTTGGGGCACTCTAGAGTGGGAGAGAGAGCCGGATCTGTCTTGCCTGATTGACCTCCTCCATTTGACAGAGGGTAAAACCGGACCAGAGCTTGTTGCAACAGAGGCAGCAAGTCTCTTTCCAGACGGTTTCTTCAAAAGAAGAGCTTGTCAATTGGTAGATTTCCAATATGCCTCGGGAGCCTGACTATAACTGCAATTGAGAGCCTTGAGTAGAAAATGAATTTGGAAAAAGTATGATTTTAAGGAATTAAACTATAAAATACAAGATCATGTTTAAACATTACTGGAACTATGGATGTTAACACTTCTTATTGCTTGTGATTGGAAACAGGTGCCTGTGTCTATTGAGACAGGTGAGATAAGAACAGCTTCCGTTTCAATGAATAGTTCAAATCATCCTTGATACCCAGATTAATTTGTAAAAATCATTTCAGAAGGCTTTTAGTGGGAAATAGAGGTTTGGAAAGGAACAAACCTCCTCCAATGGTGAGAGACTATTTAAAAGCACATTTAACTGCCATATGGCTGATTTTCTTCATAATTTTAAAGAAAAAATTACCGGTTGGATGTGGTTGTATTCATTCAGTCTGTGAAGCTGCTCCTACATAAAAGTAAGTATATTTTCAGCTACTTAGACATCTTTCAGCACAATTCATTCATTTTGTAATATAGCTGGGGTAAATCATCCTCCATGAAATTTAAGGTAAACTGTATTCTATTACAGAATTATCCGAAAGTAATAAAATATTTTTCATTTTCTAACTTTAGAAAAAAATCATTTTAAAACTAAGCTCACCTATAGTTTTCAAAAATAAAGAAATGATAAGTTTCAGCGTTTAAGGGGAAATAATGATGTGTCAATTTTCTAAATCCATTGCCACCAAGTCAAATCCAATGTAGTAAGCCTATAGGACAAAGTAGACCTGTCCCGAGGGGTTCCAGGACTGTCCATCTTCGTGGAAGTAGACTACTTCCTCCCAAGAGTGACTGGCAGGTTCGAACCACCAACTTTTGGTTATTGGCCAAGCATTTGAACACTGTCTCCAGGGTTTCTTAGGACTGCCAATATATTATAACTGAATTTGAGTTAGCAATGGTTGCTTTCCACTTCGTCTTAGAAAAAATTTTAATAAAATATTACCAGATATGGGTGGTAGAACACTCTCTCTCTTGAAATATATTTCTGGTAAAAAAAAAAAAAAGAATCCAATGTGAAACCTCTGTTTTAATATACAAATAAATATTGATATATTTGAGACTTAATATGTAATGTTAGCAGGGACAGCTTGTTAAGGAAAATAAACCATTTGGTTGTAGTATTCTGGTTGTATTTATTTATAAATGACAAACTTTTACTGTTATTTATAAATGACAAACTTTCACTGTGTATTTTCATTCACTCAGGGGCTATGGCAAGCATTGGAGACACAACTATGAACTACTATGACAAATTATGAGCCGAACCAACATGATAATAAAGCCTACAGCCTAGCTGTATCACAGATAAGGTAATAAAATGTATTATTCAAGTGATTTCTTGGAACAGTAATGATGAATCCAAGTGAGGTATTAGCACATGTAAATTTGCTTAGACTTTATTTTAAATAATAGCCACTTGAAAACTGAAGTGACTAACAATTAGAGCCCAAATCAAATTACTGACTTTCTTCTTCTCAACTTGATATATGCAGAAAAAACATTTGCTTAATTTTTACAAAGCTTTTTCTCCTTAAGGTCCTAACAAGTATATTCGGGGTAACAAAAAACCCGTGTGTTTTGTTATATTTCTTTCTTTTAAGTGATAGGCGCTTTCTGCTGATTGGTACGTTCTTGATACATCTCTGCATTTAGCAGATAGTTTATGACTTCAGAGTTTAAGTGCACATACACATAGACCCACAACGTAGTCAGAACCTTCAGGAGCTGTGTAAAACTAGAGATTGGTAGGGAAGGAGGAGGAGAACCAGAAGTGTCTTGTTGGGCGTGCTCCACGTGGGAGTCTATGAGAGCTGAGTAGAGGAGTGCTCTTTGAGTCCTCGAAATAATACCAGGAATGAGAATGACAATATTGTTGTTGTTGTCACACATATTTGTATTTCATACTTGAAAAACAGGTTCAGTGACAATTATTTAAACTTGCTAATCCTCCTTAGATTGTGTAGACAGAGCAATTATAAAATTTAGCTTTCATGATTCCTTTTCTAATGTGTGGACTCTAGACCAGAAACTTAAATGGACTATTAAGTTCATGAATTAACCAGACTTTCTTTTAAATTAAAAGTTATCTGACACATCCGTGTTTTCACAGACTGATATCTTTATGAAATCCCCAACCAGATCGAATTTAGAAAAATAGACACATTGCAATTGTGTGATTATGACATATCATCAGCGATCCTATATGATGCAGAATGTCATTAGAATTAATTTTTCACTTCATTAGCAATTATGAATGTATGTCACAATTTTGGTTCATGAACGCACAGAAAGAACTAGCTTTACCAGTAGGCATAGGTAATCATCTGAATAATTTTTCAATTTAGACTGATAATAATTATTTAATGATAGAATAAATCACTCCTTAAGAATAGTAAAGTATATTAAGAAGCGGATTCAATTCAATATTTAATATATTTTAATTCAACAGTGAAATACTACATTATATGGAATAAAATATTACCATCTCGAGTTGGTTGTCTTGGTTGACTCTATAAAATTGTTCCTATTTAGGAAGAAAATTATTATCAATTGCTTGAATAATAATCAGTCAAAGCTCTTAATTTTTAAGTAATAAAGTTTGAATGAGACAATGTCCTATCCAGGGACAAAGATTAAGGGACAGAAGTTCCTATTTTATTGCTATTTCTGCCTCTTATGATTTGGGCTAATTAAATTATTCATTTTAGAAAATTAGAAAAAGAAGTTGACTTATGATAGAGTATAAAGTAAGAAAGTCATGAGTATTAATAGACATTTGTTCATATTTTTTATGTTTGGTCAGAATTACTAAGGAAATTGAAAATATGTTATGCTTTCTGACTTTGGATAGTAATTTTTCCAAATGAAATCAGAACTTCACATAAGCTAGGCAAAAATACTCATTATTTACCAGCCTTTATTTTAATTTAAAGGTTATCTGACACATCTCTGTTTCCATAGGTTGGCATATGTATGAAATCTCCAACCAGGACTGAATTTAGGAAAGTAGACACATGAAAATTTTGAGACTATGACATATCATCAGTGAGGCTATATGATATAGAATATAGTCAAACTTAATTTTTCACTTCTAGCAATTATGGGTGTAATACACAATTTTAAATTTTAGACAAACTAGAACTAGCTTTGCTAGCAGATATGTACATAATAATATAAATAATTTTTAAAATTCTGTCAGTAGTAATGATTTGATGATAGAACAAGTAACTCTTTAAGAATAAAATCCATTAAAGTGCATATTAAATTTATTGTGTATTTCAATTCAGTGACCCAAAACAACCCTATGATCAACAGAGAGAAACATTGCCGCCCTGCCCTGTCCTTCCAATAGTTCCTATGCCTGAGCCTGTTGTTGCAACCTCTGGGTCAGTCCATCTTGTTAGCGCCTTCCTCTTTTTCAGTGCCCCGCCAGCTTACCAAGCATGATGTCCTTCTCCAGGGCCTGACTGGCCTTTCCTGACCTTGGGAGGACGTGGGTCGACTTTACATTGAGTCCTAATTCATATTGAAGGCTGTAGTCCATGTTCTTCCTGTCCGAAGTATATAAGACAGAGTCTTGCCATTCTTGCTCTAAGGAGCACTCTGGCCTTTCTTCTTCCAAGAAAGATCGGCTTGTCCTTTCAGCAGTCCATGACACTTTCAATATTCTTCTCCAGCACCATGATTCAAGGCATAGATTCTTCTTTGGTCTTCCTTATTTCCTTGTTCGATGTCCAACTTTCACATGTAGATGAGACATGAGAAAATACCATGGCTTGGGTCCGACATCCCTTACTCCTCAAAATAACATTCTTGCTTTACAATACTCTAATAAGGTCTTGTGCAACGGTTTTACCAACTTCAACCTTTTCTCCATTGATCACGATGTTACCCATTGGTTCAGTAGTGAGGACCCAGGTTCTATGTTACATTGAGTCATAATCCGTATTGAAGGCTGTCATCCATGCTCTTCATCAGCAAGTGTTTCAAGTCCTCCTCACTTTTAGAAAACAAGGTTGTATCATCCGCATATTGCAGGTTGTTCATAAGTCTTCCTCCAATCCTGATACCACATTTTTATTCATATAAAGCCACTTCTTTGATGATTTTCTCAGCATACAGATGGAACACGTATGGTGAGAGGATACAACTGTGGTACATACCACTCCTGGTTTTAAACAATGCCATATCCCCTTGTTCTGCTCACACAACCGCCTCTTGATCCATGGTCAAGTTCCACATGAGCACAATGAAGCGTTCTGGAACTTCCATTCTTCATTGTTTATACATACTTCATTGTGGTCCACAGAGTTCAATGCCTTTGAATAGCCAATAAAACACAACTAAACATCGTTGGGTATTCTCTGCTTTCAGCCAAGATCCATCTGACATCAGCCATGATATCTCTTGTTACACATCCTCTTCTGAATCCAGCCTGAACCTCTGTCAAGTTCCCTGTCAATAAACTGCTGCAACCATTGTTGGATGATCTTCAGTGAAATTTTACTTGCATGCAATACCAATGATATTGTTCTGTAGTTTGAGCATTCTGATGGGTACCCTTTCTTTGGAATGGGCACAAATATGGATCTTTTCCAGTCAGTTGGCCAGGAAGCTGTCTTCCAAATTTCCTGGCATAGACAAGTGAGTGCTTCCAGGGCTTCATCTGCTTCCTGAGCCATTTCTGTTAGTATTCCATCAACTCCTAAAGTCTTGCTTTTGGCTAATGTTTTCAGAACAACTTGGACTTCTTTGGTCAGCACCATTGGTTCTTGCTCATTTGCTGCCCCCTGAAATAGTGGAATGTGGACTGGTTCTTTTTGGTATAATGACTGTATTTTTTCCTATCTTCTCTGGATGCTTCCTGCATCATTCAATATTTTGCCCATAGAGTCTTCAAGATTGCAATTAGAGACTTTCTTTCTTTTTATTGAGTTCTTTCAGTTTAAGATATGCTGAGTTTAAGATATGATTCCCCTTTGATTTTCTAATTCTAGCTCTTTACACATCTCCATATAATATTGAGCTTTATCTTCTCAAGCTGCCCTTTGAAATTTTCCGTTCAGCTCTTTCACTTTATCCTTGCTTTCATTTACTTTACTACTCTATGACTAAGAGCATGTTTCAGAGTCTTTTCTCACATTATATGGAATAAAATCTTACCATCTGGAATTGGTTGTCTTTGTTCACTCTGAGTTTGTTCCTGTTTAAGAGGGAAATCATTATCAATTGCTTGGATAATATTCAGCCTAAACCCTTAATTTTCAAGTAATAACATTAGAATCTTTTTTTCAAGTGCGAAGATGGAGGGGTAGAAAATCTTGCTTAAATGATATTTCTGAGCCAAATAATTTGTACTGACCAAATTATTCCTTTTAGAAAACTAGGAAAAAATTAACTTATGATAAAGTGTCATCCAGTGAAAAATACATGAGTATACAGGCAATTTTGCTTATTTGCTTTTTCAAAATTACTAAAGAAATTGGTTGAAAATGATGTTTTCCTTTTGGGCTGTAAAGATTTAATTTTAGTAAAATGAAATCAGATAGTCACATAAACTTACAAAAGTGATTATGCTAATATTTGTTGAAATTTTTTCATCTGATAAAGGGCTGACACATATTAAATGGAAAGAGATAATCTATTCAATAAATGGGCTACAAAAATTAGATCTACAGTTGAGAAGAACAAAACAAGACCCATACCTCATAGATATAAAAAAAATGAATGAAACAAATTAAAGACCCAAATGAAATCCTCGCACTATCAATATCATCAATTAAAAAATAGGGACAAACTTAAGGGCCTTGATACAAGACAAAAACACATATCAAACAAAATGAAAAGTAGTCACACAACAGAAGACAAAATATAGAGGATATTTGTGTGTACTGAAAAACTTCATCCATGAAAAAATAATAATTTATAATTTATCAAGAGTTCATGGGGGGTGGGAGTGGAATGAGCTGACACCAAGGGTTCAAGTAGAAAGAAAATGTTTTGAAAATGATGATGGCAACATATGTACAGATGTACTTGACACAATGGATGGATGGATGGATTGTGATAAGAGATGTAAGAGCCCCCAATAAAATGATTAAAATAAACAAACAAACAAAACCTTCATCAAAAAGGTAAAACAAAAACCCATAAGCTGAGAAAATGTTTTTGACAAGATATCTCAGGTAAGGAGCTAATCCCAAAAATCTATAGAAAACTGCAACAGCTCAAAAGAAAACGGTGGATAAAGCAATTAGGAAATGGGCAGAATCTACAGATAGACAAGTCACCGAAGATGTCATGCAGGGCCCACAAACATAGAGAGAAATGCTCACAATTACTAGCCACTGGAGAAATGTGAATTTTAAAACAACAATAAGATACCACCTCACACCTCATGTCAGGATATGGATGAATTTGGGAGATATTATGCTAACCAAAGGTAGTCAATCTCATAAAGACAAATACTGTATGAGTCCACTATTATAAAACAAAAAATCAAGAAGAGTGTTTCCACACCAAAAGCTGCATACAGTGATGGAAAAGCAGAAAAGGAGCAGAGAAATGGGGAAAAAATAAACAAGTAACATATAAAAATAATATAGTTTTCCATGTGGCATCAATTATTTAATTTCTTTCTGATATTTAATACTGTTATCATTGATGTATTAGAATTGAAATTCATGCAATATATGTAAACTGCCTAATATCACTTGCTGGTATTATCTGTAAACTGTCATTCAAATACTATGCTATTCAGATTCAAAAGCTGATTTGAAATTATCAATAGCTTTACTTTCAGAGGTCAATCATAAAAGGTCTAAAGACTACGAACTACTATGAATTAAAAGTACATTTGCCTCTCATAGCCTTAAGTGAAAACTTACCAGGAAGTTTTGGAAGACCACATGCTCCTTTGGGATGTGCTTCTAGTAAAAATAATGAAATGTCCACGTAAACTTTCACGTAAGTATATTCTGAATAACATTATTATATTTTAAATTTAGCAAACGTATCTTACCTCAGGGCTCAGAGGGACAGCTTCCTTTAAGTAAATGAAAACATACACAGCTTTAGTTTTTTGACTTATTAATTTGCATCAGGTAACAACACCAATAAATGAGATACTGGTACTAAATTTTTTTAAAACTACCATTGAGTCAGTGCTGACTCATAGCTATCCTATAGGAGAGGGGAAATCTGCCTCTGTGAGTTTCCTAGCTGCAACTCTTTTTAAAAATATACTTTTATTGGGGGCTCTTACGTCTCTTATCACAATCCATACATTCATCCAATGTGTCAAGCACATTTGCACAT